AGTAGCACATTGGGCTACTTAAATTTAAATTAATTAAAATTTCATTAAAATTAAAATTTAGTTTCTCCCACTAGCCAAATTTCAGGTGCTTGATAGACTAATTCCCTGTCAGGCAGCACTGTGCTAGAGAACTGAAATGTCTTAATATACTACTGTTTTTGAGTGCACTGTAACGGCTCACCTAGGACTCTCACTTCCATGTGTTCCAGGGTGTCTGTGGGAAAATGACTTTTGAGTCCCTAAAAACTGATTGGTATCAGTGTTTTTTTTTTTCATTCCAAATTCTAAACTTTAATGGCTTCTTAAATAAAAAATGAAATTTAAAAATTAGCTCATTCTCAAATTGTTATGTGAATGTATTTGGAATGTTACTTTCAGTATCTTACAGAAACAATATATAAAGAAATGGAAAGATTCATTATATAATATATAATTAAGCTGGAAGATAGAAATATGTTCAATTATTATGTTAGGGTTACAGACTAAAAAGATATTTTAGTCTGTAAATTTACCTGAAAGGTAAAGCCTGGGAAGAAACACTAAAAATTGAATTTGTAAGTTATAGTCATCTGAAAAGGAAACAGTTTACCAAAAATCTGGAATTAACCTCTATTCTTTGAAATTTATTTGAAGTAAATTTAGAATTATTAAAAAATTCATTTCGACTTATAGATAATTTATAGAACTTAGTAGAAGAACTAATGAGAAGTATAGGTAGACTGTGACTTATGATTATAGAACCATAAACAGTTAATAACACAAAATTGGGAAATATTTAACTTTTCAGTTAACCATGAAGTTGGATAGTCCTGCCCCCACCCACAGCTCACTTAGGTCATTTATTGACCACAAATTACTGGCTAGGACCATTGCTCTGTGTGGGGGTATTCTGGTGTTCCTGTTACCAGAAATTCAAAGCAAAAGCTGGTATTCAAGAGCCTGGATTCTTGGATTAAAAACTGGAGTCCAGACAGATAGATACACATGAACACGCTATAAGTTTGTAAGCTGTTGAACTAAAATTTGTGACTTTTATCTAGTAAAATGCTAAGACCCTATCGGTTTAAATGAATAAATTAGTAATATGGCATAATCATTTTCAGGTATAAAGACAGTTAATATGGGATATTTTCAGGAAAAAGCATACAATAAATTTGGAACACTCGAACAATTTTTAAAGCAGATTAATAACATAAAGGCAGCATGTAACTTGATTGAAGTCTCTTAATTTCTCAGTGATAAACCGTTACATGTGTACTTCATTTTATGAGTCTTAAAATAGAGGACAGTATTTATTGTAAAATATTAATGATAAATTATAATTTATATGTAAATATAAGCTTAGTATTCTTAAAGGAGGAAAGGTGAAAATAGCTATCAGACTATTAGATATGACAAATAAATTATTGAGCTACATAAAGGGATAGTATATTACATCTCCTGAAAATTTCTTAGGTTCTCAAAATATTGTATTAATTTTCATATTGATGTTTTATTACATTGAATTAACTCTGGCTTAAATGTTTTTTATTCACAGATATTTAAGATAATGGGGGAGATAGTAAGGTATGAATTTTCCCAAATAAAAAAATTATGCTTGATTATGGATTATGCAGGAGCACAATATGACTCTAAAATCAACTAAATTGGGAAGCTGTCTAGAGCAGTGCTTCTCAGGTTTTAATGTACATATGAATTATGTATAGATCTTGATAAAATGCAGATTCTGATTCACTAGGTATGGGTGGTGCCTGAGATACCCTGCATTTGCAACAAGTTCCCAGGTGAGTTTGTTGCCTTTCTGCATGAATAGCAAGGAGAGTAACCTTTGACTATATGATTTAAAAAAATTTTTTTTGATTCATACATAACAGATGTATGTATTTTGGGAGTGTATGTGGTATTTTGATGCATTCATATCATGTGTAATGATCAAATCAGGGTAATTGAGATATCTTTCACCTTAAACATATAGATAATTGAACTGGGAACATTCAAATTATTTTCTTCTAGCTATTTTGAAATATACGGTAGATGATTGTTAACTGTAGTCACCCTGCTCATCTTATACTGGGTCTTATTTATTCTATCTAACTGTATTTTTGTACCCACGAATCAACTTCTCTTCTTTTTCCCCTCCCCACATCTTTTCCAGCCCCTGATAGCCACCAGTCTACTCTCTATCTTCATGAGACTTACTTTTTAGCTCTCATATATGAGTGAGAACATGTGATATTTCTCTTTCTATGTCTGGCTTATTTCACTTAACATAACAATCTCCACTTCTATCCATGTTGCTACAAATGACAAGATTTCATTCCTTTTTGTGGACGAATAATATTCCATTGTGTATATATGCTGTGTTTTCTATATCCATTCACTCATTGATGGACACTTAGGTTGATTCCATATGTTGGCTATTGTGAATAGTGCTGCAGTAAATATGGGAGTGCAGATATCTTTTTGATACATCGATTTCCTTTTTTTTTTGTATATGTACCCAATAGTGGAATAGCTGAATCATATTGTAGTTTTATTTTTAGTTTTTCGAGGAACCTTCATATTGTTTTCCATAGTGGTTGTACTAATTTACATACCTGAATTTTTTTATAGTGATCTTTTGTCTAAGTGCTTCTAGTTGCTCAGATCAAAATACTTTGGAATTATTCTAGATTCTTGCTCTCTAACAAATATTCCACTTTCAATCTACCCACAAATCCTGATGGCTGTATTTTCAAAACACATCTGAAATCTGAGCACTTTCCACCACCTTTGCAAACACTGGGGTAAAAGCCACCATCATTTTTCCCTTAAGATTATTATAGTAGTCTCCTTGCTGGCCTCTACTTTTTCCCTTGCCTCCTCTGCTCAAAGGTCAGAAAAGAAGCCAGTTTTACCTTAGCCTAAAAGGTGCTGCATGATCTTGTCTTCTGTTATCTCTCCATCCTCATCTACTATTTTTCTTCTTTTTCACTCTATTCCAACCACGTTCATCTTTTTGTTGTTCCTTGAACATACCAGACATGCACCTGTGTCTTAGGACTTTCATATTGGCTGTTGTTGCTGCAGAAAATGCTCAGCATGGGTGTATTGAATATCCAAATAACTCTCTCCCTTGCTGCTTTCTGATTGCCAGTTCAAATGTCACTTTATCACAGAGGCTTTCCCATTATAACAGTAGCTTCCCCATTTTTTCACTCCTTTTTAGCCATACTATTTTTAATTTTCCTCCACAGCACTTCTCAACATCTAATACTAGATATTTTACTTGCTATTTTGTTTATTTTGTCTTCCTACTAGAATGTAAAGGCAGGGATTTCTGTCTGTTTGTTCAGTACTGTACCCAGAGAATTGCCTAATAAGTATACCTGTACCACTCAATAAGTCTTTGAGTTTAAAAAGAAATCCCAGAAGAGGTCATTGGGCCTTTGCTTGAATACTTTCTTTGATAGGTTATTCTACCTCTCTTTAGAACACTTCATTCCATTTGAAGATGACTATTGTTCTTAAGCTTTCTGTTCTTTGAGGCTAAACATGCTTATTACTTTATCTTTTTGCATATGATACAGTTTCCAGGCTTATCACCTTTTTGTCCTTAAATACCAGAAATAAAACAAATGTTGCAAATGTAGGCTAAGAGTGGGAAGTTTTCCTCATTCTACCTTCATCAAAGCAGATCGATTAAATTAAAAAAAATTTTAATGGCTCTAATGCTGACTCATTTTGAGCTTTTAATTCGCTACAACCTTAAAATAATTCTTATGTGTTTCTAAGTTTCTTATCTTCCGCTTTTGGAGTTGATTTTTTGAACCAAAGTATGGAACTTTGCATTTCTCCTTGTTTAACCAAATAGGGGATTTTCCCAAACAAATTTCCTGGACAATTCATACCTTTAATGTAGAACTACCATGTGTCAATTATTTTAGAAATAAATAGAAAAATTCCTGTACATATGGAAGTATCACAACTGATGAAATTGGGGATTTCTTGTGCCTAGATATTCTAAAATGTATTTGGACATTTCATTGTAATCATGTGTCTTGCATTAGTTCCAGAAGGAATATTGAGTTAATTTTAAAAAAATAATGTTATCTCATAATTTTCTTCCCTTTGACTACCAAGTTGACTTTCTTTCCCACATTTCTCATTTTGGCCTCTTATAATTAATATTTTCCCAGTCCTTTAGGCCAGAAGTTCATTGAGTCTTTCCCTGTATTTTCTCACCAAACCTCAGAAATTCTTCAGTTCTTTAATTTCTTTTCTAATTCACTTCATAGCCAGTTACTCTAGCTATTCAAATCTCTCTGCTTCTAATCTCTTCCCAGTGTAATAATTGTATACTTTTCTGGCATATCAACCTTTTAAAAAATTTCACTTACATCATTTTTTTACACCTTGTCACTCTTATTCAGAAAGATGTATAAGATTAAATCTGAGCTTATTTCTTTTATTACCCTTACTATGACCTTTCAGATGTCCTTGACTTACATGCCTACCCTTCCTCAGTACGTACGTGTACACACACACACACACACACACACACACACACACACACACACGCTCTCACACACTTTCCCTCACTTGCTGACTCTTCTTAGTCTTGTCAGATTGGCCTAGCTAAATGCTATTTTATTTCTCTGTACTATTGTGACCCTTGAATGCCTTAAGTTCCTGAACACACATAATTCTCCAAAAATTCCATTCTGAATTGATCTCTTTTTCTTAAGCTTCAATTGTGTTTATTTCTGTGCCACAAAACTTATCATTTAGTCTTTGTTGGTTAATGGTAATATAACACTTTTCTTTTCCATAAGACTGTACTTTTTGATGGCAAGGAATATGAAAGAGTACTGGGTTATCCATCCACAAACTGATTATCTTGTACTGTGTTCTTCTATGTATAAGATAATTTCTTACTGATCAGAATTGTTTTATTAAAAAATTGATATTGGGAAAAGGCAAACATAAAAATTATCTATTATAATTCATCCTACAGGAAACCCTTTTCCAAGGAGAAATGAAGAAGAAAACTGTATATACCCTAAACATGGGAGATAAGGAGTATGAAGATATGGAAGGTAACTTTTCATTTTTATAAAACGAGTGTGTTGAAAGTACAACTTAGTGTTTCCAAACTGTTCATTTGTATACATTTAAAAATACACAAGAAGTTTTTAGTTTTTACTTATTTTTGTTGTTCTTAAATTTTGAAATAAGAATTTAAGAAGTATACATATTTTTGTTTTCCTCCCCCCATATCTTTTTTTTTTTTTTTTTTAATTTAAATTTTAATTTTTTTTGAGACTGACTCTCGCTCTGTTGCCCTGGCTGGGATGCAGTGATGTAATCATAGCTCACTGCAACCTCAAACTCCTGGGCTCAGGTGATTGTCCTGCCTCAGTCTCTGGAGTAGCTGAGATTACAGGCCCGTGCCACCATGCCTGGATAATTTTTTCTATTTTTAGTAGAAACAAGGTCTTGCACTTCTAACCTCAAATGAACCTCTTGCCTCAGCCTTCCACAGTGCTAGGATTATAGGTGTGAGCCACTGTGCCTGGCCCCATGTCTTGTTTGTAGATGATCAAAGTTTTTGGTTTGTTGAACTGTTTACTTTTATTTTTCTTCTTAAAGTTTTTTTCTCTACTGTTTCTGTTTTTGTTATCTTTTTAAAAAAAGCTAGCATTGGTATTCTTCTCTGCTTATAAAGTTAATTTAATCTTCACTGTCAGCACAAGAATAATTGTAGAACACTTTAACACTGATCATCCTACTCACAGTTTATAGGTTATAGTTATCTGTTGTTTGGGTTCTTTTATTTCAGATACCACAAATTAGATGATATTTTATGCAAAAAATGTTTGCTTGGGTTTCTTTCCTTTCTATTTCTTTTCTTCTTCCTGAAAAAATAAGAAGTTTCTTTAGTGAAGGTCTATTGGTGGTAAACTCTTAAGTTTTTGTGTCTATTTTATCTTCTTCAAAATTATTCAAAGGCAGTTTTACTGGGTATATAATTCTGGATGGATAGTTTTTTTCTGTTAGTACTTTGAAGATATTATTTAATTATTTTCTCTTTTTTTTCCTGCTGTCAAGAAATCTCAGTCTAATCGTTATTCCCTTACAGATCTTTTTCTGTTTTCTGCTTTTAAGATCTTGGCCGGGCACAGTGGCTCACGCCTGTAATCCTACCACTCTGGGAGGCCGAGGCAGGAGGATCGCTCGAGGTCAGGAGTTTGAGACCAGCCTGAGCAAGAGCGAGACCCTGTCTCTACTGAAAATAGAGAGAAATTAGCTGGATAACTAAAAAAAATAAATAGAAAAAATTAGCTGGGCGTGGTGACACATGCCTGTAGTCCCAGCTACTTGGGAGGCTGAGGCAGTAGAATTGCTTTAGCCCAGGAGTTTGAGGTTGCTGTGAGCTAGGCGGTACTTGAGCATGGGCAACAGAGCTAGACTCTTGTCTGAAAAAAAAACATCTTGTTTTCATCTTTGATGTTGTACGGCTTTGCACCATTGTTTCTAGGCATAGATTATTTTCATTCCTCAATGTTTATCATACATTGTGTTTCCTTTATCTGTTGGTTCATGCTTTTAATTATTTCACAGCCATTACTTCTTTGTTGCCTCTCCTTTATTCTTTTCTGTATTTCAGTTAGTATGTTAGACCTTGCTCCGATCATATTTCTTAGCCTATCACAGATTATCTCCCCTTTTCTGTCTTCTAGAATCTAGGTAATTTCCTCAAATTTGTCTTCTAGTTCATTCTTCTGGACTGGGACCAGCTGATTAATCATTTCAGTGTAGTATTTGAAAATTCTGATACTTGAAGCTAGTGGGTTTCTAAATTTGTTTCTGCTGATTCTCTCTCAAGGCAGCTTATTTTTTTAGGTTTGGTAATGTTTGATTATTAGGTCATATTTGATAAATTTAATCTATGGAATTCTGAGGGCTAAGTATTCTTTCCTGTAGAGGATTTTCATTTGCTTCCTCTTGGACCCATGCTGGGACCACGTTAGCCCCATTTAAAGGCTTGGCTTAATACTGGAATCTCTCAGGATCATTTCTCCTTAGAACCCCATGGTGATCCTAAGGCTTAGTCTCCAGATCTGAACACTATTACGGACATTTGCACCCAGAACAATTCCAGCAATTGCAGCTTTGCTTGCTGTATACTGTTCACATTTCAGTTGACAATTTTTTTATTATTTTTATGTTGAATTTTAGAGTATCTGTTATTTGTTTATGAGTCAGCAATGCATACTTTTATATGAGTTGATTACCTTACTGGTAAGAGTTTAAGTTAGTACAAATCCTAAGCAGGAGGATAATTTTGCAGTATCTATTCATAGTAAATGTATACACATGTTGATCTAGCAATTCCAATTTTCAGAATTTATCTTGTAGCTGTACTTTTGAAAATGTGAAATAGCCAAATTTTTCATTGCAATATTGTCTTAGTCAAAGGTTGAAAACAACTGAATGTCCGTCAATAGATTAAGCAAAAAAAAAAAAAAAAGACCAGTGTACACAGTGTTCTAATGTCTCTGTGTAGCAGGGAATATGGAAGAATATGTATTAGGATTTGTTTTTCTGTGCATTAAAAAATAATCTTTGGAAGAACAAAGTTGTTACTTGTTGTATTGGGTGGAACTGGATGGATGGGGTAAATTTACTTTTAAATTTTTGAACCATGTGAATATTACTTATTTTTAAATTAAATTAATGAAAAGTTTATTTCACTCCTCCATTAAAAAATATAAGAAAGTAAGTGTTGTGACTATTGAGCTCAAGGAGTATGTTTGTTATGATTTATCTAAGATCTGATTTGTTTTGTAGTGAGAGAGCCCTTTAGAATGTCTAGTTCACTGTAGTCCCAGAATCATAAGCCATTTGGTCTGGAGAACTTAAAAGCACATATGGCTATTTTACTTTACAGGAGAAGAAAATAGAGATGATACTACTACCACTGGTCTGTTGTACAGTGAAGCTGACAGATGTCCCATATGTCTTAATTGCCTGTTAGAGAAGGAAGTTGGTTTTCCAGAAAATTGTAATCATGTGTTCTGTATGACCTGTATTCTTAAATGGGCAGAGGTAAGTCTGAGAATAAGTATTAATCCCAGTTAATACATTAGTGTATTTTAATTCCCTAGCATGATTTAATTCCACCTAAAGAGTTGATACTGCCTTTCATAAATTATTTCATAGTAATATATTTTCTTCCTATCTTAGACAACTTTCCCTGTATTATATTCAAATTCTG